AAGGCCGAAAGACATATGAAAACCTGCTCAAAGTCACTAATTATACGAGAGATGCAAATCAAAACGACAATGCGTTATCATCTCACACCTGTCAGAATGGCTATCATCAACAAATCAACAAACAACAAGTGTTGGAGAGGATGTGGAGAAAAAGGAACCCTTCTGCACTGCTGGTGGGAATGCAGACTGGTGTAGCCACTGTGGAGAACAGTATGGAGCTACCTCAGAAGACTAAAAATGGAACTCCCATTTGACCCAGTGATCCCACTACTAGGAATATATCCCAAGAAACCAGAAACGCCAATCAGAAAGGATATATGCACCCCTATGTTCATAGCAGCACAATTCACCATAGCTAAGATTTGGAAACAGCCTAAGTGCCCATCAGCAGATGAGTGGATTAGAAAACTGTGGTACATATACACAATGGAATACTATGCTGCGGTAAAAAAAAAAGGAACTCTTGCCTTTTGCAACAGCATGGATGGAACTGGAGAGCATTATGCTAAGTGAAATAAGCCAGTCAGAGAAAGATAAATACCACATGATCTCACTCATTTGTGGATTATAGAGAACAACATAGACTGATGAAAAGGGACAGACTCAAAGACTGAGAAACAGCAATCAGGCTATCAATCCCCAGAAGGAAAGTAGGGGAGGGCAGGGGTAAGGGGAAGAGATCAACCGAAGGACTTGTATACATGTATATAAGCCATACCAATGGACATGGACAACAGGGGGATGGGAGCATGAGTGTGTGTGGGGGGGAGGTTGGGGGTTAATGGGGGGGATGAGGACACATTTGTAATACCTTAACTAATAATAAAAAAAAAAAAAAGAGAGATGTATTCTACAACAACAACAAAAAAAAATACTTGGGTTCTGCAGTAAACTGGTATTTATAGAAGCAGATTTTTTTTTCTGTCTGGGGTTGGGGAGTGGGGAGGCGGGGGGTGATACTGGAGGATTTACAAATAACTCAGTCTACCTCCATTTTCACTTCAGAGAAAACATCAAGTCTCTTGATTTCAGAGCAGAGTTCTTGCCACCATGCCAGTGTTCTCCAATTTGTTAGGTGGGTGGAGCCCCTAGAAGTCACTGTTTTGAGGGGAAACCTATTAACATGATAATATATTTATGTTTTCCCTGAGAACCAAAACTTTTACTATCAGAAACTATGATGAGTCCTAGCTGGTTTGGCTCTGTGGATAGAGTGTCAGTCTGAAGGGTCCCAGGTTCGATTCCAGTCAAGGGCATATGCCCAGGTTGCAGGCTCGAGCCCCAGGAGGGGGTGTGCAGGAGGCAGCCGATCAATGATTCTCTCTCATCATTGATGTTTCTCTCTTTCCCTCTCCCTTCCTCTCTGAAATCAATAAAAATATTTTTAAAAAATATTTTTTTAAAAATAATATATATATTAAATAAAATATCATTTTCAACAGATAAACAAGTAAGGTTCCCACGCATATCAATCTGTCCTGAATGATTTGTACTGTAGCTTTCAACATACACTGTGGAGGTAGGGGAAGAAGAAAACCTTATATTTTCCTAAGACTTTTATTTGCACATTCCATGCCACAAGAAATGATATATATGATATATATATATCATTACAAATGTTTAATAATGGTTGTGTCCCAACTTAAGATAAAACAAATATGTACAGCTAAACCCAGAAAGCTATAAACATGGTCTTTTCAACTTGAATTACAAAAACATATCATATATATGATATATTATATATGAAAAATGATATATATGAAGTATTTCAACTTCAACTATATCCAGGGGAGAAAAAGGTTGTTAAACTAAACACAGTGAGTTATTTCAGAGATTTTTCTATTAGCATTTGTAGTCTACCTACTTGTTCCGCCTCCTATGCTCATCAGCAAACAATGTAAGATGGCAAACATTTAAGAAAAATTTAAAGAGAGGATGAACTTAAACATAGAAATTTGGACTTCGTTATCTTTTAATTATAACCTAAGATGAGCTCGGCTGGCATGGCTCAGTGGTTAAGCGTTGACCTATGAATCAGAAAGTTACAGCTAGATTCTCAAATACCAGTTGGGGCATATGCCAGGGTTAGGGCTTGATCCCCAGTGTGGGACATGCAGGAGGCAGCCGATTGATGATTCTCTCTCATTATTGATGTTTCTATCTCTCTCCCCCTTCCTCTCTGAAATCAACAAAAATATTTTTTTTTAAAAAACTAAGATGAAACAATACATATACCAAATTATTATATTGTACACTTTAAACTAATATAATGTTACTAGAAGCCTGGTGCACGAAATTTATGCAAGGGTAGGGTCCCTAGGCCTGGTCGGCGATCAGGGTGGCTGGGGCCTTCCTTCACGCCGCCTGCTGGTGGTCACCACATGATATAGCAAGCGGTCGAACTCCCAGTGGGTCGAACTCCTGGTCAACTCCCAAGGGGACAATTTGCATATTAGCCTTTTATTATATAGGATGTGTCAATTATATCTCAATTTTTAAAAAGATGAAAACAACATCATTTGATGTTGGCTGTGGTGCATCTATGCCCCCTGGGAACCTAGTGGGGGTTTTCTTTTGTTTTGTTTGTTTTGAGGATTCTAAGTTTGTTCTTATTTGATATAGCAAAGATAAAGCATTTGAATAAGTATTTTTGTTTTGTTTTTAACCCACCATGCTAAAATCGTGTGGTTACTGTACCTTATGTTCTTTAGAAGATGTTTTTAAATAAAAGTGTTTTGAGACTATAAGTCTTCTTTTAATGTTTTTGGGCAATTACCACAGAACTAATTTTGAAAAGCACTCAATTACAAAGCAACTGAATGTGGAAAGTGACTATTAAAAAGACTATTTAAGAGTGGACATTTTAACCCTTCTTGATTTCAAAAGTTAAGTATTCTGCATGTATGAGAATTATCCATGCTATAATTCTGAGTGGGAAAAAGCTGCATATTTCATTTTATATGTAAAATAACTGAAAAGAGAGGTCTGGACTAAAATAAAAGTTGTTAACACAGTTTACTCCAGGTGGTAAGAAAATAACTTTTGGTTTTTATTTTATAGACTTCCATATTAGTTAATCATTTTTCAATATATATGTACAACTTTCTTCCTTCTTATTTTTTTTTAAATATATCTCTATTGATTTCAGAGAGGAAGGGGGAGAGAAAGAGAGATAGAAACATCAATGATAAGAGAAAATCATTGATTGGCTGCCTCCTGCATGTCCCCTACTGGGGATCAAGCCCGCAACCCAGTCATGTGCCCTTGACTGGAATTAAACCTGAGACCCTTCAGTCCACAGGCTGACGCTCTATCCACTGAGCCAAACCAGCTAGGGCTGTTTTCCTTTTTAAACTAACAAACTTTAAGGATATTTTTTGCTCAATTCTCCTGGTCAAACATATTAATTACATAATTTGAAAACCAGTAATTTCTTTAAAAAATTAAGTGCCATATAAAATATTGTTTGCAAATAGAAAATAGTACCAAAACAATAGAGTGAATCTTTGAAAAGTTGTGATTTAGTATTCTACTTTTGGATTACTTTCCCTACATAATTGAACCTTTGCTTTTACATGGCTAGTACTCAATGAGAGATTGAACATTAGGTTACCTTATCTTTTTTATATATAAAAATCGCAACTTTAGATATTGAGTCTAACTGTAGCTGCTCAGTGAATAAATGACAATGGTGAAAAGAACAGCTGAACATGAAGGCCCAGGGTAGTGACCACAATGGAACCTTCAAGCAACACCTATAATATCAATTGTCTCAAGTGAAAGTAAATACAACTTTGGGAACAAGCCATGGAGCCTCTGAAAACCCCAGAGTGTAAATTCCCAACTAACTTCTCTAATTTTCAGATCTATAAAGAAATAGATTTTCAAAGTCTCTACCAGAAGAGAGATGTTGAATTTAAGCCAAATAACTCATTGCAACAAAAAGAGTGTTGGTTAGATACATTTTCTTTCCTTTTCTACTGAGGAACAAACAAGAGCTAAGCTAAATTTGTAATATTATAAATTTCTATTTAGCATGTGAACCAAATAATTTCTTAAAGAACAGATACATTTTCAAGGCAAGCTGTGAAGTCTCTCTCTCCCACAGCCCTTCAAAAGTGAGACAGAAGAGGCTTTGTGTGGCATAACGTGGGTCTTGTTCTGCTTTGAAGTTGGTAGAAGAGATAATTAGTGCTCTGAGGTTGCAGCTGTTGTGTGATATGGAAGTTCAAGGGCATCCATGCTGATTTTTCCCTCAGCAATCCAACATTTTTAAGTCAGAATGTGTGTCATTTTCACAAGCTTGAGCCAGACTTCATGTAACCATTTCCACTATTATCAATGCTCATCATCAAAACAGGAAAGAACAGTGGAGACATGACCTCTCAGAGCGTTATGCAATTGGGCAGAGTAAAATGTAAAGGAGGGTTTCTTGGGAAACTAAAAAGTGCTGGATTTTCTACCATTTCTGGTATCTAAATACAGGTCTAGCAAGAAAAACTATGAAGTGACCTCGTAAGATATTCTAGTCCTGGTTTATTGATATAACACTAGGTTGACCTCTACAATAATACTTATTAGAAATGTCATAATGATGATCATGACTATAATAACTGTTTACGATGATAATTATAGGTTGAATCAATGCATCCTCCAGGTAAATAAATGATTCTGAAGTAGCATGACCCTCTCCACCAGCTGATACCATGTGCATTTATTTGTACATGTTCAATTGTTTAAGTGGTTTGGATACTTGGTTTTGAAAAGGCAATTTTAGAATGTAAAATTGTTTTTCTCTATTTAAAAAAAAATGTGTTTGAGAGAACCAAGTAGAGAGTTACCCACTAATTCATGTAGTAGGTATTTCTATAAGCATCTTCTGGGTGCCTGGTACAGGGCCTGGTCCAGGGACACAGAAATAGCAAAACAAACATGGTTGGATGACTTATTTATACCAACCAGCCCACACAGAAAACGTATTCATAAATATGACACATTACCTTTCAGGGAAATATACTTTCAAAAGTGACTTTCTGCCCCTGGTTTAGCAGAAGGTGCAGCTCTGTACACGTGCAAAGCTTCACAATCTGAGTATAAAGAAAATATACATATATTTTGGCCTTTGAGAAGCAAGTGTTATTATAATTTTAATGATAATAACTACTGTTTCCATAGCATCTTTATTGGGCCTGTGTTTAATATTAATTCTAATCCACAAAACAACCCTGAAAGTAGGAATTATTTCCATTTTACAGGTGGCTTATGTTGAGAGGCCCTTCCCAGTATAAAATCATTATATTCTAAACAATTTGCAGTTCCATAGCAATAGTGGCAGCCCAGTCAAGGAGGTGAAACAACATTCACTGAACATCTACTCTGTCCTTGCACTGTCCTTTACATTGATCGTTTCATTGAAATCTCACAACTCTGCAGGATAGAAAACAACGTCCCCACATTGGCGATGCAGAAACAGGCTCAGAGACACCATGTAATGTGCCCCAAATCCCACAGCCAGTGAATGGCCATCTGGCAGGATTACCAACCTGAAATACTTACTCAAATACTATCTCCTCTCTAAAATAAGCCCATCTACCACTAACATCCACTTCTCCAGGCCTTTGTTCAGGTTCTGCCCTCGGCAGAGAATGACCTACCCTGCCTAACCCCCACTGGGTCTTCAAGGTCAAGTGCAGATATGACTTCTTCAGTCCCAACCACCCCCAGGCAAAATTTGAAATCACAGAACATGTTTTTGCTACTAGTCTAGCACTTATCACACAGCACTGTAATTTGTTGGTATGTCTTTCTCTCCCATGGAAGCTAAGAAGACCTTGAAACAAAAATTGTCTTTTTCACTTTTGAGTTCTCGGCACATAATACACAGCTTGGCACTTAGGTTGACACTCTAGTTGGTGGCAGACCTGATACTCATGCCCACATGCTGTAAATTCAAAGGACCTCTAAAAAGTGACCAAACCAATCCTCCTGCATTTATTTGGGAGCCACGTTTTTGGTTTGTTTTTGTCTGTTTGAAAGACCCTCAGAAGAGAGGATGCTACCATCTCTCTACCTTCTCTATTTGTGATTCCTTATAATAGGTCACGCTAGCCTCATTTGCTCATGTTTCTGCCCTCTGAGAAAATTCTGTCTCCTCATAATTCAGAAAATACAAAATGGAATTTTCACAAAATCTGCCTTAATTTTGCTGGTTTCCTGGTTAGCTAAGCTGTACATGACACACAATTTCTCTCTGAATTCTTGGCACAATGACAGGTTTTTTCCTTGTAAGAAAGGTGATGACCACAAGAGAATACATATACTGGATGGTGCCAGAAGAAAGGAGCAAACACATAAAACTAGCCCTAGCCAGTTTGGCTCAGTGGATAGAGTGTTGGCCTGCAGACTAAAGGGTCCCGGATTTGATTCCGATCTGGGTTGCGGGCTCGATCCCCAGTGGGGGGCATGCAGGAGGCAGCCAATAAATGATTCTCTCTCATCATTGATGTTTCTGTCTCTCTCTCTCTCTCCCTTCCTCTCTGAAATCAATAAAAGTATATTAAAGCCCTGGCTGGTTCAGCTCAGTGGATAGAGCGTCGGCCTGTGGACTGAAGGGTCCCAGGTTCGATGCTGGTCAAGGGCACATGCCTGGGTTGCGGGCTCGATCCCCAGTGGGGGGCATGTAGGAGGCAGCCAATCAATGATTCTCTCTCATCATTGATGTTTCTGTCTCTCTCTCCCTCTCTCTAATCAATAAAAATATATTTTTTTAAAAAGTATATTAAAAAATAAAATAAACAATAAACAGTACATGGCATAGTCCTTCAAACAGAGCAAATGCATTTGCACTGATTTGTACCTTCAAATCAATTGCCAATGCTTTAAATATCTTTTTTTATCTTTACTGTTGAAAGTATTACATGTCCCTTTTTTTCTCCCATTGACCCCTTACAGCCCACCCCTGCCCCCCACCTCTGCCAATGCTTTATTTTTCTGCAAGGAGGTAGGTAAATGTTTTGATTTCTCTTTAACAGATTAGTAAACTAAGACATAGAAAAACTAAATTATTTGGCCCAAACCTTATCCTAGAATTTGGAATTAAATCCAAAAGTTCTTACCTTCCAGCTTGCACTCAAACCAAAGGCCCATTTTCAAAAGGTAGATAGCAGCTATATAATTTTCTTCATCAAGGTAATCAGGTCATCACTTCAAATAACTCCTTTCTTCTTTAGAAATGATATTAATATATAATTGTCCTAAAAGCTTATGTGCAAAACAGGCTAATAAAAAAACCTGGCCTTTTTGTTATTTTTTAAAAGTCTATACTGAATAGGGATATTCACAGATAATTGGCAGGGCTGTCTGGACAAAGAGTTACAGCTTTGTGGAATAAAAACATAGCCTGCATGTCCAAATTAGCTCAAGAAATTTCCCATTTCTGAGAGGACGAGCTGGCTGTCAACTGTTTAAGACATAAAAGCACACCCTCTTAAAACATGAATCATTACCTATCACATAAAACAAGGGCGCGCGCGCACACACACACACACACACACACACACACAAGCATCTTTAATAATTGCTCAAGGCTTTCAAAAATATCCCTTCACTGCACATTAAGATACATATTTTATCAACCAAGATCAGGTTGTCCTTTCCTCATCCACGCTGTCAGAAAAGATAAGCTATTTACCAACAGCCTTGCTACATGAACAGGCTCATGATGTGGTGTAAACAGGGGTGCCAAACAGACAGAGCAGATGACTCAGACTGATTCTAGAGTACACACTTGTAGGTTGAACTTAGTGCCTGCAGCTGGTTATTTGTCAACCTATTTTAAAAACAGATTGTTTGCCCTGGACTGGTATCCAATGGTTAGAGCATTGTCCTGTACACCAAAAGGTTGCCGGTTTAATTCCAATTAGGGCACATACCTAACTTACGGGTTCGATACCCACTCCAGATGAGAATGGGAGACAATTAGTCGATGTTTCTCTCTCACATCTTCTCTCTCTCCCTTCTCCTCACTCCTCTCTCCTCTCTCTCCCTAAAATCACTAAACATATTCTCCAGTGAAGAAAAACACACTGGTTGATCTTTACTCCTATAACTAGTTATTTTCTAAATCCTATACCTGAAATGCAACCTTCTTAAAGAAATAAGGCCTAATGCATGCTTTTAGCATAGGTGGACTAGGATGACCATTCTTTGGAAATGTGTATGGAAAGTTTGAACAAGGACAGGGTGAGCTGAAACACAACACAAAACCAGAAGCAAGTTGATGTGCCACAACTGAGAGTGGGCATTTGGGTGGTTCCCGTGCATGCCATAAATGAGTGCAGTGAGTATCCTTAGTCTTTTTATTGTCAACACTGAACCTTACTAAGATATTACCATCAGATGGATAATTTACATTTGAACGGAGACCAAAATAGCTCCTAAATCTACAAAGGCAGAAAAATCCAGACATCTCAATATGCTTCCCTAAAAAGTGAGTTTAAAGCCCACAATAAAATATAAAAAGAAAATTACTTTGATCTACAAGAATAATATACTGATTTGTTTATTAACTGCCTTGGGAAAACATTTCTCAGAACATTTAGTCATATTTATTTCTCTGTTAGCTAGAAACTAAAAAAAAGCTACTGAGCTGGAACGAGAACTTTTTCCCCTTTATAAAATTTTCAGATTTCATCATAAATGTTATAATAAATGTCCAAAAGTCACAGAGCGTAATCCATTATATTTTTAGAAGTTAATTTAATAGGATAGAATCTCAACTTTCATCTGTATGTCCACTTAGGAAAAGTATCTATTTAGGCCAGGGGTGGGCAAACTTTTTGACTCGAGGGCCACAATGGGTTCTTAAACTGGACCGGAGGGCCGGAACAAAAGCATGGATGGAGTGTTTGTGTGAACTAATATAAATTCAAAGTAAACATCATTACATAAAAGGGTATGGTCTTTTTTTTTTTTTTTTTTTTTAGTTTTATTCATTTCAAACGGGCCGTAGTTTGCCCACGGCTGATTTAGGCCCTCTGCCCATTTTTTAATTGGATTGTTTGTCTTCCTTTTGTTAAGTGGTATGCGTTCCTTATATAGTTTGAATATTAACCTTTAATCACATGTATCATTGGCAAATATGTTCTCCGATACAGTGGGCTCTCTTTTCATTTTGTTGGTTTCTTTTGCTGTGCAGAAGCTTTTTTATTTTGATGTAGTCCCATTTATTTATTTTCTCATTTTTCTTGCCCTAGGACATGTATTGATGAATATATTGCTATGAGAGATGTCTGAGATTTTGCTGCCTATGGTTTCTTCTAGGATTTTTATGGTTTCACAACTTAGATTTTGGTCTTTTATCCATTTTGAGTTTATTCTTGTGTATGGTGTAAGTTGGTGATCTAGTTTCATTTTTTTGCATGTATCTGTCCAATTTTCCAAACACCATAAATTGAAGAAACTGTCTCTATTCCATTGTAGCTTTTGTATGGTTTTCCTTTTTACTATTTTAATTTTTAAATATTTTTAACTTTACTGTAATCAAATTTATCAATCCTTACCTTTAAGGTTGGTGCTTCTTAATTTCAATATGCTTAAAAATAATTTCTTCACCTGGCCAGCGTGGCTCAGTAGTTGAGCATCGACCTATGAACCAAGTCATGGTTCAATTCCTGGTCAGGGCACATGTCCATGTTGCAGGCTCGATCCTCAGTAGGGGCCATGCAGGAAGCAACCCATTATGACTCTCTCTCATCATTGATGTTTCTATCTCTCTCCCTCTTCCTTCCTCTCTGAAAAAAAAAAAATATATATATATATATATTTTTAAATATATGTAAATTTTTAAAATAATTTCCTCATATTGAAATCATGAATCTAATTTCTTATTTTATCTTCTTACCTTTCATAGTTAAAAGGTCTACAAATTACCTAGACTTGATATTTTTGTTTAGTGTGAGTGGGTTGTTTGTTTGTTTCCAGATAGAACATTCTCTTTTCCACTGCACTGCATTTTTGTCATCACTATTTAAATTTTTATTGATTTTTTAATAGATTCTCTTCACACCTCACTTTGTTAAATGAGTTTGTACCCTTACTATTCCTTGCTCTTCTCCTACCTACCTCTTTCATTGCCCAATATCTGTCAGCTAGAGCTTTACTTTAACACCATCAACGTGGAGAATGTTTATGTTCTGCTCCTAATCACGATTAGCTTTTCCATGTTTTGTAGGAGGTTTATTTTGAAAGCTGATAGTGAATAAACAAATTTTACATTATTATGACAATTCATCACATTATTTCTTCATCATGGAGGCAGAAAGTGCTAATAATTACTTTCTCTCACCTACATTTTAACGGAAAATATACCAGTGCCACGGTTAAATATAGTCTCTTTTCTTACATTTTACCAATTGCTAAAAAATAATCAAGGTTTAAATCATTTCATATTTGGAACGTGACATTCTGTTAAAGGATTTTGATCTACCTAGAGTTTCTGGTTATTCTTTTTTACATTGTTAAGATTCCAAGGCTTTTTCCATTACAGCCTTATATCTTGCAACTTCTCATGAACAGCATCTATTTGAAATAATTCCATTTTTTCCTTGAAAACATTTTTCTGTAAGCCTGCTGATCTCTGTTCTAATTTAGACCAATTTCCTCCCTTGGCCTATTGCACAACTGTCATCTTTGGATGCTATTTCATTATTCCCCTAAACCAGTTCTGTTTCTGTGTCCCTGAGAAGCAGAGAACTAACTGCAAGGTTAGATGGAACACAGCCCACACAAGATCACTCTAACTGGTGACATCAATTGCAAGTTGGAGGGGTCATGCCCAGGTTTGTTTCTCTAGAGGGACCCACAGAATGTATTGAAATCTATTATACTCATGGTCGAGATTTATTGCAGAGAAAGACTACAGACTGAAGTCAGCCAAGGAAAGCAGTACATAGAGAAGAGTCTAAGGAAGTACCCAATTCAGAGCTTCCATTGTACCCTCTCCATTGTCAGAGCACTTACTCTCTCAATACTGATGTGTAACAATAACCACAGACTTTTGCCAATCAGGGAAGCTCATCAGAGCCTTGGTATTCAGAGTTTTTATTGAGCCTCCATTACTTACACATGGTTGCATGACCACATGGCTAAGGAGAATCTCCAACCCCTCAAGGTATGACCCAAAGCCCCCAGCCTGAATCACATTGTTTTTATAAGGCTGGTCCAAATTACCCAGGCAAAGACAATCCTATTAGGCATGACATTCCAGGAATTTAGAGATTACCTCCCAGAAACTAAAGCAAAGGCCTGACCTCTTATGGGGCAAGATTAAATTCTTTATTATGTACCAGAGGCCCAGTGCATGAAATTCGTGCACAGGCAGGGGACAGGGAGGGTCCCTCAGCTTGCCCTGCGCCCTCTCACAATCTAGGACACTGCATGCACCAGTGACCATACTTTTCATACAGGTGAAAGGCATCTTGTTGTTGTATGGGCAGCTACATTTTTTTTGCCCTGTATAAAAAGTAGTACATAACATGATCCTTCTGAGGTGGTAGTACTATTTTCCCCGTCTTACGGGTGGAAAAACTGAAGCAGAGAGAAGTTAAATAATTGGCTTTGTCACACAGTTATAAGTGTCAGATTCAGAGAATCAGGGCTGACCACAAAATGTGCAAGCCAGAGTCCAAACATGTCATTGCTGCATCATCCTGTTTTTTCAGGGTTAGAGTAGCCTTGCCAAGTTTTAATTTTTAAATCTAAGAGACTGTTCCCAATACATAGGGTAAGGTCCCTAGGCCTGGCCGGTGATCAGGGCCAATCTGCAGGGCAACCAGTGGGCAGGGCACCCACCTTGACCGGCAGCCTGGCGTCACCCGCTTGCCAGCCCCATCCCCCGCTGCCACCCTCCCTCTGTGGGGCAACCGGTGGGTGGGTAACAGGGGCCCCCCCGCTGGCACCCGCTTTGGCTGGCAGCCTGGCACGCCTGCTTGCCAGCCCGACCAGGGGCAGCACCTGCGTTGAGCATCTGCCCCCTGGTGGTCAGTGCGCATCATAGCAACCGGTTGTTCTGTTCAATTTGCGTATTAGGGTTTTATTATATAGGATTCCCACCTCTTTCTATTTCTTGGCTTTCACCCTCTTTTTATTGGAGTATAACCTCAAGTAAATGTGTACGGATATAAATTCTCACTTTAAATCTTTAGTGTTCTGAGGTTTCCTAACA